AGAAGGATGAAACGGGGGGGGGGAGAACGACAGTTGGAGTGTGAAGGTTTCATGTTGCTCAAAGGACCACACCAAATTATATCTTAAATAAACATGGTAAAAATGTTAATAGTTAAGGCATGATAGGATGCCACAGGAAACGCGAATAACCCAGGGCAGAAGGGGAGATACCACAATTGTTCAGCACAAGTTTGGTCAAAGGATCGGCCTCACTTGCCTCTGACGAGTTGTTGTGTGGTGCTAAGAATGGCGATACTCACTGACGATGTCGACGAATCGTTTGGGAATGTACCACATCCACGGTTCAACTTTGGAAATGATCATGCAGACAATGTACTCTGGACTAGCTGCGTTCCTCTAAGTCTTCCTACCAACATGACCATGTTGCGAAAACAAGGTCAAACAACCTCAATAAAGGCATTAATTTATCCAGTCTATCTATAGATGTTAATGTTACGCTCGTCTTAGAAAGGAGTTTAAACTTTGTATTTCTAAATGAGCAAGATCATACTATGGAGGTACTCGTTGACTTAATTATCTTAACGGACAAGCTGCCATAAGAGGCTAAGAATAGTATAGAGAGAGGAGTGATTCTTTATTTTGATGAAGAAATTATTCCAAAGAAATCGTATGACTTGAATAAAGTTTCTAGATATTTGCACCAAAAGGATCTGTTTGTTTTAAAGGCAGATAAAGGTGGTGCAGTGGTCGTCATGGCTAGGTTAAGTTATATGGAAAAAATGATGGTTCATTTAAATGACTCGAAAACTTACAGACTTTCAGTGAAGGATCAGTGGCATATTGCTTAACGTATCAAGATTAAACGTTGCACTGTTATGGTTCGAGTCCTGCTATGTTGTTGTTCAGACCTAGAAATTCCAGTCCATCCTGGCTGAGTATACCTTTTATGAAATTCGATGGAGACGTAATATCTTCTCATAGCGTTGTTTGTTTGTTTATCACCTTAAACGAAATAGAATAAATATATCTCATATATACATTAATGAACTGTCGAGACAAAAAGTACTAGCCAGATGAATCTCTGAGCGATGAGATTGTTATGAGGGCAAATTGACAACTATCAGACAATCCGAATGGTTTGGAAGTTGACATAAAAAGACATGTATCCCATTTTTGCCTGTTTCTGTTGCCTATGCCCAGTTAATTTTTGTATATACAAGCAGACTTTCGAGACTACCAGTAAATCAGTTCTATGAGATTTATTCACCCTAGTTCGATTAAGGTGATGAATGACTGGATTAGACCTGGTCTTTCTTGAAATTCTCATCTGTCCTGTGACCCAAGGGCTGTTGTGGCAATGTGTACAAGTGGTTAACGTGTCAAGCTCATATTCTTAACGGTCACAGTTCGACTCCCGCTGGGGGTGTTGAGAAGACCGCTGCGAGGTCAAATCTACAGTCCACCTCAGCCTAAATGAGAACAGCTTTTGGGAAAGCAAGACAATGTGAAATGCAATGGAAACGTAAGCTCTACTCATATGATTGTGGTAAAATTCTTCTACCAGTCCTTCATCATCAATAGGACGAATAAATCCTATATAGCTGATTATTTTTGACCTTGTTTTCGCAACATGGTCATGTTGGTAGAAAGACTTAGAGGAACGCACCTAGTCCGAAG